AAATCAAAGCGAAAGTAACTGGTAAACGCAAATTGGAAATGACCGTAAGGAAGGATTACATACCGGCAAGTGTTGAGTAAATTTGCAGCATTTTCTGAATCCGTGGGCAAAGTATTGGGCATATTTTCGAACACTTCATGGGCGTCAAAATAAGCAGTTGTTATGGTGACAAAGGAGTGAATCAAAGTCAGAGGGGAATTAAAAATTAAAGTGAAAGTAACTAGAAAACGCAAATTGGAAATGACCGTGAGGAAAGAGTTTAGAGATTAGTAGAGGAAATAAAGTAAATCAACAAACGTGAAGCAAAAGCAGTGTAGAATAAAAAAGAGGGAGGAGAAAGAGTATAAAGAATTTTAACAAAGGCAAACGAAAAGAACAATAGGAAAATAGAAAGATAAAGGAGGATGAATACTGAGATAGAGGGAGGAAAGGAAACAGAGAGAGTAAAGCATCTGTTGGAAAAGAAACAGTTATTTTTGAAGCGTTGTATATTTTTGGTTTAGGGTGACTTTTGGTTTTTGATGGTGAAAAATTAGAAAAAATAGCAGAAAATCATAGAAAAAGATAATTCCAGTCCCTATTGAATTGGAGCACCACGTAACAACGTTAGGCCCCTCAATTATAGATATATATATAGATAGATTTATTAATTTAGACCATTTCGCTATTTATTTTTCTTCTCTTCCGGTTCTTAGTCCACCGTGAACCACCACAACACCTCAAACCACCAGTCTCGTCACAATCTCATGACCAAGAAAATCCCTCCTCACTCAAAAAATCCAACTGGCCACCATAAATCATAATAGACAAACAAAAATACTCATATGTAATTTTATTCCAGCAACGGACCACCATCACAATCATGCCAGTCACCGTCTTCTTCGAAAATACCAGCTCCTTTCTCATCTCATTTTTTTTTATTTTCTTTAAAAGAATCTCACCGGTTCTTCTAGATATTTCATCAAATATTTTCCTACTTGAAAATCCATAAAATGGAAATTAAAGCCTATATTATTCAGCTCTTAACCTCTTAAATTACAGAGAAATAGAGATGTACAACAAGTCTTTAATATAGAGATAGTTGGTAGATTCAGAATTGTAAGTTAATATCGCAACTTTGACCGCATCCTTGCCATCAGACCCACCCACCGCAAATCCGAACATTTTAAGAAGGTGAAACAGGAAACGAGAAAAAGGGGTGGGGTAAAAGAAAAAGAATGGACGAAGGTGGGAATAGGGAAAGAAAGGGGTAGGCATTGGGGATTTCTTTTTATTTTGTTTTTTGTTGTTTAGTATTTGTTTTATGAATTTAGTACCTTTTTAATTAAAGTAAGCCTATTCACGCTCTATATCAGCATGATTAACACATGTCTTCCACATCAGTTGGATCTTTGCCACTTAATCATGGTCAACGGTCAAAAGGGTTTATTATTATTATGCAATTGAACAAGTAAAAGTGTCTAAATGAGAAAGTAATAAGTTCATTTAACGGGTTATAAATGGGTGAAAGTTTAAGCGGCAGGAGGCCATTTTGCCAAGAATTAAAGGGCCTGACTTAGCTAGCGTTTGACCATAAATTCCCAAATTTATTCTGAAAAAATATGATTTGGGTGAAGTTTGGTTTGAAGATGAAAATGTGTTTGGACATCTGTTTTGGGTGAAGTTTGGTTTGAAGATGAAAATGTGTTTGGACATCTGTTTTGGGTGAAGTTTGGTATGAAAAAACATGAAACATGACTTATACCCACAAGTTCTAAAAACTATCATAAATACCCAACAGTACCATTATCAATAACATTCATTATATTATCTCAAACCATAGTCCTGAACATAAATAAATTTGATACAAAATTATCATTTTTATAATGAACTACATGATACACTATCAGATGATCGAAAAGACGAAACAACATCGTTACAAAATAATAAATGGTGGACTCTTTTATAAAATACAAAAGTTTGGGACAATTTTTAAAAAATATAATAGTGATATTTTGGCCCAAAACCAGCTATGGGATTTGGGATTTGGCCAAAATATAGGTAAAATCTATAGACAAACATGTGTTTGCCAAATAAAACCCTAAGTTTATTTTGACAAAATCTATGGCCAAACGGGTCTTTAATGATCTCAACCTGAGGAAGCAGGTGAATAGGTTCTGGATAATGAAGAAGAGAAGAAAAAGAAGAAAAAACTGCCGAGACAGGAAATTGGTGTAGCAACTGAGGAGGCTGATCCTGAAGAAACTGGGAAGAAGGAGAAAAGAAAGACGCAGCAGCACGCAGATGATTAAATAGAGTGTTGGAATGGAACATATGAAATAGAATGTGTTGGAATAGAACAAAGTTAAAAAATAGAAGAGAACGATATATTTGTTCCTATCAACAGGTTTACTATTTAGGCATCAATGGTGCTTCCGAGTTGTAAAGAGATGGTGTTAATCAGTTTTTGCTGGTTTGCGAGCAGCTTAAGATTTTGTTAATGGACAGATAACTAGATCCGGATGCTTAATTCTACTGTGGAAATCTTTTTCTATGCTCTTTTACATGATTTAAGCCATAATATGAGTGATGAGTCTCTACTACCCAAATATTTTTGCTATTTTTTCTTGCAAGTACTTTTAGAATCTGGCACTAATGGCATACTTCTACTAACCATTACATCTAAACTTGTGTAAATTTTCCAATAGCGCAAAAGTTGTAACTCTTCCATCACAAATTCAAGATAACAAAAAGAAAGACATACTATAGCTAGTAGAAAAGATGCAGGAATACAAGCTATCAGATTTGATCAACTCAAAAGCACTTACATTTGACACAGTTTCCATCTTATTGTTAAAAAGAAGGAACTCAACTAAAACGATTCTTGTTCCACTTAGAGACACGTACACCAACTGCTACAACTAAACAAATAACATTTCCATTGAAAATCCAAACAAAAGAGAGAGTAGATAAATATGGGAATTTTAGAATTGGTTAAGCCTTGGAATCCATAACCATGATTGTGCTAAGGTTCATGGGATGCATGTAGGCTGTAGTCCCAGTCAATATTTGTTGAACAATGATTCTGTTTGCCTTTTCTGAGGGATGAAATGGATCCCAAAATGCATATTCATCTCTGTTTGGGCACAAATTGGATAAGGGTGTGCACAGCCCTATCCCATTATATGGTCCTTGTCCACAGCATGCCACCTTTGATGTCACAAATCCTGCCCCATACAATTAATATTCAATGTTAGTAAAGTATAGATGTGTAATTAACTAAGTAATATTTTTACACAATCACTAATCCCAACCATCAGTATAAAAGTTAAACCCTCTAATTTTTCATAATTAAGAACTATAGTATTGCCTTTACCCTGTCCCCATAATAACAGTACTAGATGTTAGAGAGGACTAAAAATGTGGGACATCAACTAAAGCCTAGGAAAAGTCCAACTTATTTTGCTACAACTTTTTAGTACTAAACTAGTTACGCTAAATATGACAAAAGTAAGTAGGTAATCAATTAAAAGGCTTAAATTTTAATATACCAAAAGCTTGAGGATTAGTAACGAAGTCCAAGTGCATTTGATTTGTGTTTGCTGCAATGAAAACATGGCTCCCTATCTCACTGTTCAGGCCATTAAGCATCTCAACTAGCTGTGGATTGAACAATGAAGCTGCTTCCTGCAATTCAGCTGCACAGTTGCCGTCCTGGCTCCGTTGGGCTAATTCCGCTGGCACACAACCTAGTGGCCCTGTCCCTGTCACGATAACTCTACGAGCTCCTAAGCTGTAAAGTTTCTGCATAATAAAATTAGAATTGTAGTGTATATAAATTAAATTTAATGATAAAATATAAGAAATAGTGTCAATCAAATGAGGGTAGGGTNACCTAAGAATTGTACAATAATGTTTCCTCAAGTTTAATCAGTTGACAAAAAGTACTAGTATGAGCTAGCTATCGCATTTCAATAATCACATGCAATATTTATTTTCCATCTTAAGTAGGTGTGCACTAAGTTCAACTACTGAATCCTCTTACCTTTTTATTTTCTTTTGCCCACGTACTCTAAATGCCATAGATTATGACCTTTCTATTCCATTTTCCATTCCCTCTTGCTCAAATGTTGCCTTTTCATAAAAGTATATACAAAAATATATATTAATTTGTTCTAAATTTTTGTAGGGGTCAATTAAAACTCTAAATTTACTATCATCCTCTTATTTTTCTTTTTCCTTTTTTGGGTACGTCAATTTTTTTAGTTTAAAGTCTTTTCATATCGACTAAATTAATTTTTTCTTACCGGAACACTAAAAAAAACTGGATTTAGTGATAGACCACGTGCATCGTTACACTAGCAAAACTTGTCACAAATAGATTTATACAACCTTTTCTATTCTATGGAGAATGCTATACTATGCGTGTCAAAAATAACTTAAATGATCTTATATAGTAGTATCTTTTTTATTTTGTTGTCCCAATGTGACAAAAAAAGTGACTTATTTGTTAACCAACAACATGTTGATACTTGACATTATATATGCAGCAATAATTAATAGGAGTATAGTTTTTAGAGGATAGAGTATTGTTACCGCAAGAACTTTTTTGTACTCAGAGATGACAAAGGTGACATAATCTGGAAGGGCGTATTGGGTAGATCTCAAAGAAAAAGGGACCAAATAATAGTTGTTGACAAAATCATTGCCCCCAAGTGTAATTAGGACTAGAGCCTGCTTCACTAGTTGCTTTGCCTTTTCAGTCCCTACTAAGGCTGCCACTCTTTTTTGGTATTCTGCAAAGTACTCCACCTGTTGCCCAATCCTTATAATGTTTACCTGGTAAAATTGGTGAGATAGTTACTAGGAGTATAATTTAACAAGAATGTAGTGCACAGGTAAACCAAGATAAAAAGAGGCTAAAAATGTTACTCGTATTTTTTATGAGATCTTTAAACAAATAATCGGTCGGATTTATTGTTTATTTTTTCTAACGGTATACATAGATTATACATATATATTATATATAGCTAATACATATATTATGCATATGTAGCCTGTTTTTAGTTTAATCAGTAGGACCGGCGGCTATTTAAAATAATTCATTTTTTATTTTATTTTTCTATTAAAAAAGAAGAGAGGAAACTAAAATCTACATTCTACAAACTTAATGAAACCTTAATCTACAACTATAACTCTAAATTGGTGCAAGAACTCAAGTTTGACTCGTACCCCGCCAACCAACATAAAAATAAGGAGCAATGAAATGTGGGGAATATTTTAAAAAATACTTTGGATTTTGAAGTACTTTTAGGGTAAAAATTATAAATCAGTTATCAAATAGTAATAGTTAAACTGGAAATTTAAATTTAAATAAAGCTTACAAATTGAATTCCAGTGTCATTAAGTATTCCAACCCCAGCAGAGGCAAAGTTGGCACCAACAAGAAGCTTTTGCCCTTGAAGCTCTGGACTCAAGTATGGTAATGTAGGTTCCATTCCAAGCTTTTCACCTAATAATTGCATTGAAAAGGGGATTTAAAAAAAAAAAAATCATACATAAGGAAGAATAAAATAAAAGGAATGATAATCGTAGATATATGTAGCTGATAAATATTTACCAAGAAAAGAAAGGACAAAATATAGTAAGTTATTGAAAAATTAAAGTATAGGATTTGTCTTTGAACACCACATGCATGCAATGAAATGAGCCACTTCCTTAAAAATTGCCACCTGTGTATACTGATTCTCCCCTTCTCTTTTTCCTTTTTGTGCTAGACATGTGTGTATACGGTCAAACCTCTTTATAACATTCATCCTTTATAATAATACTTTACTAGAACAATTAAATTTTTTTTAGAATTATTTTTTTATATTATGTTATATTATATATTTTTTATAACAATACTTTACTATAATAGTAAAAAAATATCGAAACAAACACAACTATTATAGAGAGTTTTGAATGTAATAGGAGAAATGGAAGACCAAAGTGTTGAAATTCAAATTTGTGACACTACGATTCTAATCGTTCAATCAGGGACCACGTGTGTGCCTGCTTGCGAATAAGAAAAATAGCCCATGCATGCACAAATTTAGAAAAAGAAATTGTTTTGAAGGGTTGTAATGGCTTCTAGTCGTATTAAAGAAACTATAGAAAACTAATTTCCTGTTATAATAAAATGAAGTGAATTAGGTGAATTTTGGCATGGAATGCAACACACCGAAAGCTGGGCCAAGAAAAATACTTGTCTGGCCATTCATGTTTACATGCATCAAATAATATTATGCATGAATGTAATGTGTAGTAATATTTTGGCCACGTCAAACGTTGGTTTCAAAGTTGTAAAAAAAGTAAAAAGAGGAATATTAACTGATAATGTCAGGAATATTAAGGCCATTAGAGAATCGGCCAGTGGGACGATGAGTGGGATAATCAACGCCATAAGGAGGGGAATCTGCACGAGCACTTGTAGCTAAATAGTTGTTATTTCCATTATCAACCAATGAATCTCCAAACACAAAAAATGCTCTTCCCTCTACACCTTTAATTACCCCATTTTGTAATATTGCCAATGATAATAAGGTCATGAAAATAACCCTAAGATTAATCAAAGAAGAATTAGCCATGGAAGAAGTGGTATAAATGGTGATAGCAAAAGAATGTAATTAATAAAGAAAAGAAGGAAAGTAAAGAGAGAAAGCAAGGGCTAGAGCTACGTGGTGTTTTCCTTTAAAAACTAAGGAAACTGTTTTGGTGTGTATATTGGGAAAGCAGAGTTGCATTTATATATAATGGCACCCTTGGATGTTTGGTGTTACTATAATACAAGTAAAGAAAAAGGATCACAACAACTTCCCATTGTATAATCAATGTGGACAGTTGTTTAGCAGGGGTGATTAAATGCATTTTCAATCATTCAACTCAAAGACTTCTTTTTTTCCCCTTTTTTGTTTTTGAATTTAACTTCTATATAGCGGCAATATATTGAAATAATTCTACACTATCAAGCAAACAAAAGATGAATACATAAACCCATCCATAAAAAGTGAGATTAGTAATCTGAAAGCAATTCAATTGAGTTAACTGCTATTAGAGGCGGATCCAATATTTTAACTTGATGGATTCGACCTTAAGGTTCTCAATACTAAATTTATTATATTTTTAAAATTAAGAGTCCAAATCTAATAGTACAATTTTTGTATGTCTTCACCCGCGCGTGCGGGGATGAATCCTTATGTTAATATGGAAATCCTTAATTCTTTTAGCTATAGTACTTGTAACAACAATTTCTATCTCTCTTCGGTAACTTATAATTCATTTGTCCCATTTCACCATTTGTTTCTGTTCCTATCTTGGTTTTTCAACAGTAGGAAGTGATATATATGACCATGTGAAACGTTTGCTTTGTTCTTTAAATTTGACTTCTGCCGTTTGCCTTGTGTTGAATTGCTACTGATTGTTCAAATTAAAGTACAAATCAGTTAAAACGGCCAACCTCAACAATCACCTAGAGGCTAGAGAGTTGATTATTGACCACATAATGAGTGTTCTTTTTAGATGGAAAGACAAGTTACAAATGCGATACATCGCAGTGTAAAGTTGTTTTACATAATCATTTACCATACTATAATATAGTATGTAAATTATTATTTTTATCAAATTACGCATTGATTATCAAAGAAATATACCTGTATTTATCATATAATAAGTGATATGATGTTGTCAATATATTTACACGTTAATGCATAGAACTTAAGCCTTATCAATTATATAATTATATGTATAACATTCTAAAATTTTGTGAATTCCTTCAAAAAAAGTTGTTAGAAGGGCATTGAATAGTATGCACGTAGCGTGGACAGGTTCTGCTTTATTTAAGTTGGAAATTATTTAAGTTGGAAATAAATTGAAGGTTGAATTGTTATTGGAATTTAGTCATTCTGGTATGGTTAAACTCGTGGTTGAATGGGCATTCATATTTCGTAACTTTCGTCGGATTCCGAGATGTGGGCCCACATGCAAATTTTGAGCTAATTTCGGATTTTATTGAAAAAATGTAGTATTTCTTATGAAATTGATTCCTATAATTTTTGTTGACTGTATCGAATTAATTATGACTAGATACGAGTCGATCTGAGTCGGAAAATCGAGGAAAATGCATACAACTTGGTTAAATTGGAGCAAGTCGAGGTAAGTGACTTGTCTAACCTTGTGTGGGGGAAATTTTCCCTAGGATTGGTATTGAAGTGATAAATTGAAACGTGTTGAAAGTCGTGTACACGAGGTGACCGAGTGTGTACACGAGCTAAATGTGAAAGATTATGCATTTAAATTGTGTAGATCACTGTTGCATATCAATTAAATAATTTTACCTTGTTATATTCTTCATCATTGATTTAAATGTTTATACTTTAAATTTGCTTGACCTTTTCCTGCTAATTGTTTTACCTGTTTAATTGAAATTTGGTTTCTTTTATTCGGTGGATTATTTGAAGGTTGATTTTCTTTAAATTAAATATTATTAATATGAATTATTTGACATTTTAAATTTGGAATTGAAGCAACGTATTAAAATTTTGAAATATTATTTT